CATCAGGCACCACATTCGAGCCTAGCCACACTTAGACACTCAATCTTGGAAGACTCGTGGTGTTGGTTTGCCCATCTGGAAAAAGGACAAGTTGGCCTGGGGTAACAGGAATGTTCTAAAAAGTTAGAATGACTTTCTCATTCTCTCTATACACTTTGCTCTGTCTTGGCTTAAAGAGGATGGCAGAGCGGCTGTAGACCATATTGATTTTCTTTGCTTTTAAAAGAACTCCCGTCTTCCCTCCCTCAAAGTTCACTCAGAGTTCTCTCTTTGCCTTAGTGCTGACCCAGGTGGAAATCATCCGCACATTCACGGCCAAGCAGCCGGACGAGCTCTCCCTTCAGGTGTCAGACGTGGTCTTGGTTTACCAGAATGTCAGTGACGGTGGGTACATGTTCTTTGTCATGCAGCTGCTCCCCAGAGCTCGGGTACATTCAAGGCCAGAAAATGCCATTTTCAGTTTCTTCTTAGCACGTCACAGACTGTCAGGATGTATGGCCATTGGCCTCGGGTCTTTTCGCAAAGCTGTACAGGTCAGGAGCCTCTTCATCATGTCCTCAGGTGTTTGCTGTGTGTAAGTAACTGCAAGTCTTCTGAGAGCCTCTTGCCCACTTCTAGGGGTGGAGAGGGGCTGGGGACTGGTGGTAATCAGCTCTAATAGAAGCGTAGGATTGTTTTATAAATATGTTGGTTAATCCCCAAACCCAGGAAAGTATGCGTCAGAGGAGCCAATACATTGACCCAAACAGGTAATCCTGGCAGTGTACTTTTTAAATGACCACAGACTTCTCATGGATTTGTACCAGGAAGGGATTTCCTAATGAATCCACTAAACTGCAGCCTTTTCACCTAAAACATTTGGAAAAGTCAGAAGAGCATGTGCTGTAGTGACCATGTGGTATAATCCATGCTGAACTTGGAGTTAGCTCCTGGGTTCAAAGGCTGGTTCTGACATTTACTCCTTGCGACCTTGGGCCAGTCACTTAACCTCGGTGGGCCTCAGTTTCTGAAACTGTAAAATGAGGAGGTTGGGCAAAATGGGGCTAGGGTCCCCACAAGTTCCAGGCATATGATCCTTGGGTTTATACCCTGTCTCTGCTCTCTCTACAGCTGTGACCCCAAGCAGTCCATTTAAACCTCTGTGTCTCAGTTTCCTCATCTGCAAAATGAAACATTTGGACTAGGTCTCTTTCAGCTCTAAATTTTTGATCATCAATAAATCAAATATCCAAAATGGACAAGAATGGATGCAAGTAACACCAAGAACCATTCCCTAACAGAGAAGTATTCAAAGGATAACAGCTAATAATTTTCCACTGAAAAACTGCAAACCGTAACCACAAAATGAAAACCTATTCCAAGTCACAAATAGTAAAGTGGAATACAAATCAATTTCATTTGTGCGCCCCTTGAAACAGAGAACAAATCCCGTGCCTTCTTGTCTCCCCCCCAGCCAGCACCTAACCCAGGGCTGAACATAGTTGTCTTTGAGTCCTTTTCAGTCATGTCTGACTCTTCATGACCCTATTTGGGGTTTTCTTGGCAGAGATACTGGAGTGGTTTTGCCATTTCCTTCCCCCACTTATTTTACAGATGAGGAAACTGAGGCAAAAAGGATTAAGTGACTTGCTCAGGGTCACACAGCTAGGAAGTGTCTGAGGCCAGACATGAGCTCAGGAAGATGGGTAGGCTCTCTCCAAACACTTAGCAGCTTGATTATCAGGTTTTCCTTGCAGGTTGGTATGAAGGTGAACGGCTACGGGACGGTGAAAGGGGCTGGTTTCCTATGGAGTGTGCCAAGGAGATCACCTGCCAGGCGACGATAGACAAGAACATGGAGCGGATGGGACGGTTACTTGGACTTGAGACCAATGTCTAGCTCCCCCTATGGCTCCCTTTGGGGATGGCAGGATTTGCACTAAATGTTAGTGGTGGGCTGGCTGGTTTTTGCTAGTTTTATTATTTTATTATATTTTTTAACACAGCCTATTTTATTAAATGAAAATAAAAATCACTTTTCTTCAAACCTGTACGGCTCCTGGGTTCTCTTAGGAGAGAGACTGTCTCTCAAATGCTTCTAGTTCACAAAAGCAGAGATTTGGGTTCAAGCCTTTTGCTTTATTTCAGGGTGATAGGGTCTGGTGGACAGGCAGAGCAGCCAGGATGGTGTCTCTCCACATGGAGAACCTGGGAAACCCAGTTCTATGTTTCCTAATTGGCTTTCCCATGTTCTAGAAGAATCAGGATGACACATGTTGGAGAAATGTCTGAGAGAGACTGGAGCAGGTGTAGACATTTTAGAACTGGTTTGGTCAGCTATCCACAGAATGAAGAGAAGGCTCATTGATTGGCTGCTCATCATTCACAAAGGCTTGTTGGCCAACTTTAGCCTTGTCCCATTGACCTGCAGTCCAGAGTTGAGGTGTGAGCCAGTGAGCATTGATATCCTTGAAGCCTGAAGGGAATGGAGTCTCCCTCCTCATCCCATCCTTCCAGAATCCAGGTCTGGCCTCTCTGCCTCAAGGAGCAAGGAAGGGCCTCCAGGGCTCCAGGCCATCTGTAGCTGGGGCAAGGACTCATCTGGCAGTGAGGTCACCTCTGAAGACGAGCTTGGTGGGGAAGAATAATAAGCAGCAGCATTTATATAACACCTACTATGTGCCAAGCACTTTATAATCATCATCTCATTTGATCCTCACAACAACCCTGGGAGATAGGCACTAATATTATCTTCATTTTACAGATGAGAAAATTGAGGCAAATACGGGTTAAGTGACTTACCCAAGATCATACAACTAGCAAGTGTTTGAGGCCAGATTTATACTCAGGTTTTCCTGACTCTGTCTACTGTACCACCTGGCTGCCCCTGAAAGGAAGGAAATAGGAAAGGAAAAGCACCTACTGTATTCAGGCACTGGACTAATCACTTTACAAATATCATCTCATTTGATTGGTGGGATCAATACTACGGAGGAATTGAGCTGAGTGGAGCCTGCTGTCCCCAAAGACTGAAGTGATGTGGGGGAAAGCGTGTCCTGAAGGGAATGGGGAGGTGGACGGTGTTTGTACATTTTTATTGTTCTGTTTCCAAAGTAAATATCCCTTTTGTAAAAGCAGTTCCATTGTTAGTGATACATGGATAGAAGCTAGCCAATGGGGGCTCAAACTGAAGGTGGTAGCGGTGAACAGCCCTAAAACTGGAGGAGCAGGCCAGCCTCTGAGAGAGCAGAGTCAGTGGTCCATGTGACATCACTAAGAACTTTAAAAAATGCCATGGAAAATAGTTAACAGATAACTCATGGTAGCTGAGGGATGAATTTCAGCCACCATTTAGAAATGCTCCTTTCCTCCAGTACATCCAGTTATCCTGTACACCCTGATCACTTCTATTTTTCCTACATTCCCCTCCCACCTGGGCTGCTGACTCTGCTGACTTTGCCCCCATGACTCAGCTGCCTTCTCACCCTACATCTTCCCTCCAACCTGCGGGCTCCCTTCTCCCACTGGGGAGTTCCTTCCAGGGGCCTCCCTTTGGGGTATGAGACCAAGTTGGCCATGCTTCATTCCCCTCCCAGTTGGGCTACTGACTTCGGCCCTGTGGTGCCTTCTCTCTCCTTAAATTTCCCTTTTATGTGTTGTCTTCCCCTGTTAGCATGTAAGCTCCTTGGGGGCAGGGGCTATCAATTTGCAAGTTTGGGTGTCCTGAGCAAAGAGCCTAGCACATAGCTTGAATGCAGACTCGAGTCCAATATTCCCTGCACCGCCACATCTTGGCTCCCTCTTAGAGAAGGTATCCTAACCTACCTAAATTCCTGTGTGTGTGTGTGTGTGTGTATGTGTGTGTGTGTGTGTCTGTCTGTCTGTCTGTCTATGTCTGTGTCTGTGTGTGGATTTCAAAAAATTCCCCAAATAGATGAGGATTGGAAGACTCATCTAGGAAATTCCCCAGGTCTCAGTTACTGCAGTAGGAGAGAAGCAGGCAAGCCCCACAGCAGCTCTTGCAATAATCCAGGAGTGAGGTGGTGAGGGTCTGCACCAAGGTGGGGATAGTATCAGAGGAGAGAAGGGTGCATATTTAAGACGTATTAAGAAGGCAAAAATAAACTGACCTAGACATGAGAATGAATGAAGAGTCCAGGAGGGACTGGGAGGATGCTGGTACCTTCAGCATCAGTAATATGCAGTAATGTTCACAGAATGACACTTTGAATGCAGTGATATGGGGCTTTGCATGGGGGAGAAGGGTATATTATTTTATTGTATTGATATCTTTTGTTTTCACATTACCTTCATTTCTTAATGTGCACCCTCTACCTAGAGGCAGCTAGGTAGTTCTGTAGATAGAATGTTGAGCCTGGAATCAGGGAGACATAAGTTCAAATCTGACCTCCTTACCAGGTGTATGACCTTGGCCAAGTCACTTGGCCAAGTCACTTGACCTCAGTTTCCTCATCTATAAAATGGAGATGAGCTGTCATTACTTTCCAGGATTGTTGTGAGGATCAAATGAAATAGTATTTATAAAAAGTACTCTGCACAGTGCCTGGCACATAGTAGGTACTATATAAATGCTTATTCCTTTCCTTCCTGGAGTCAGGAAAACATAAATTCAAATCTAGCCTCGGACTAGCTGTGTAATCTGGAGAAAGCCACTTAATTTCTGTGACCTCAACTGTAAAATGCAATTAACCACGCCTACCTCCCAGGGTTATAAGGATTAAATGAGATATGATATCTGTAAAGCTTTTATCATAGTGCCTGGCAAATAGTAGGCATTTAATAAATGCTTATTCCCTTCTCTTTCCCTCCCAGTGAATGGCCCCTTGTGACAAAATAACACAAAATGGCAAATTAAGCCATTCAGCAAAAACAATCAACACACAGATGCAGTATCTAGCACCTCACATGGGTATCTGAAAGTGTCAAGGATTCAGGGAATGATGCAAACTCCTGGCCTTCCCCAAGGGAGGAGCAAAGCAAAGAGCGCTTTTTGTGAGACACTCGCGTGGGTGGTATGTCTACGCTACTGTCTTAGAACCCAAAGCCAGCGTGCACCTCTCAGCGGAGAGGCCCTGGCTCTCTCTGCCTCTTGGCCACGGGTTCAAGTCAGACCCTTCCAGCTCCTGAGTAGTCAATTATTCTATCCTCAAGGTAAGTCATGACCTGGATCTTTTTTAACTCAAGGTAAATCAGTAGAGGCTGTAATAGAAATCAGCTGAAACAAGATGTGTCAATCACATGGTCTAGACAGCAAGGGGACCCTGGGTGAGGATGTCCTAGCATTTTCTGAGAAGCTGGAACCAATTGTAATATAGGTCAGGTATGTGGTTTACAGAGAAAGCTGTCTTCTCATCAGGATGGCACCAGTTTATTAGCAGAAAAGTTTAGTAAAAAGCACCTTAGTAAAAAAAAAAAAAAGTTTAGTAAAAAGCACTGGGTCATCTTGGCAAATACTCTTGTCAATGCTAGAAAGTGGCCTTAGGGGTTCCAGGAACTAATTTGGATGTTCCCTGAACAGATATGGAAGTGCATAATGGGTCAATGCTTGTATTAGCTAACATTTTCTTATTTTAGCAGGTCTTTTTTTGTTAAAATAAATTTTTACTGGAATCTTCTTTCTACATCATCTACATTTCCTAATGTATCTTCTCCCTTCTCCATACCAGGGAGCAATCCCTTATAACAGAGTTGAAAAGGGGGTGGAGGGACCTCATCAAAAGTAACTGATATAACACCAAAGTCTGACATATGCAGAATTCCATTCCCATAGTCCCTCGTATATGCCAAGATACAGGGAAGTGCATTTTCACCTCTCTTCTCTGGGGGCTAAGTCTGTTCTTTGTAATTTCCTAACATTCAATCAAACAACAAGCATCTGTTAAGCACCTACACTTGGGCTAAGCTCTAGGGAGATGAAGAAGTAACAGAGTAATTGATCCCTGCCATTAAAGAGCTTACACTCTAACTGGGGAGATGTACATAATGGTCCTTGTCCTCAAAGACCTTCCACTCTAACTGGGGAGACATATATAACTGTCCCTGCCCTCAAAGAGCTTCCACTCTAATGAGGGAGATGTATATAAAAAGGAATACATGAGATACAAACAGATTAGGTGAAAGGTATCGATTCAATTTCAATTGTTTTCTTCTTGTTCCTTGCATGTGCAGGTATTTATGATAAAAGAGTAATTTTAATGTCTAATTTCTGATGTGCTAATTTTTAAAATTTTTATATGCCACTGCATTTTTTTCAAATCTTGTTAAATTTTGATACCTGTATTTTCTGATTTATTACTGAGCTTTACAAAAGAAGTTTCTCTAATAGATGGTGCCATGGATAGAACACTGGAGTTGGAGTCAGGAAAACTTGAGTTCAAACTGCCCTTTGACGCTGACTAGTTGTGTGATGCTGGGCAAGTCACTTAACCTCTCTCTGCCTCATTTTTCTCTTCTGTGAAATGGAGATAATGATAGCAACGCCCTGCCATGATTGTTGTGAGGATAATATGAGCTACTGCATATAAAGCGCTTGGCAAACCTTACGGCATCATAGAAATGCTGGTTACTGTTGTTAAATGTGGAGAGTGGCATGACCAGGACCACAGGACTGATACAGCTCTGAGGCAGCATTTGAATCCAAATCTTCCTGGCCCCAAATTTAGCATTCTATTATGTGGGCTGAATTGTGGGGCAGCAGTATGACTGAAGGAACCATCTTACTGTTAACGTAATTTATGTAGAACTTTCATTAGTTACTAGAGACAGTGAGTTTGCTATAGCATTGTCTGAGCATCCGATTTGGAGTCAGAAAGCTGAGTTCAAATCCTGCCTCAGGCATATACTAACTGTACGATGGTTGATAATGATGATGATAACTGACAGTTATATAGTGTCTACTAAGTGCCAGTCACTGGACTAAGGGTTTTACAGATATTCTCTCACTTGATCCTCATAACAACCCTGGGAGGTAGGTGCTATTATTATCTCCATTTGACAGGTATTATCCTCACAACAATCATGGCAGGTAGGTACTGTTATTATCTCCATTTTACAGATGAGGAAACTGAGGCAGAGAGAGGTAAAGTGACTTGCTCGGGGTCCCTGAGGAACCAGAGCAATCTTGAGCAGCTGTTGCTGCCTTCCAACGTCTGTGTTCTTCCTCTGCTCCGCTAACAGGTTTCCCGTAGAAGTCTCACGCAGGGATCCTCTGTGGTCCAGAATGGAAACCTTTCTCCCCCGCTGCCCTCTTTCACTCCAGGGCTTTCCTTTTTTTTTTTCTTTAATGGCAGGTCCACGATGACATTCTGTCTCTTTGTCCCAGACTTTCTCCCATAAATTGGCTGTGGGTCTTGGGGTTTTTTGCTTTTTTTTTTTTTTTGGCTTCTCAATAACAGGATTTGATTGAGTTCACTATCTCCAGCTTCTGATAGTACTCCATGCTTACACAGAACAAAGCGTCTGCAGTCACCGTTACTGCCTCCGGCTGCTCCATCCTTCCATCCCTGGCCCCCGCGTCCGATGGGTCTACGCTGCTGGCCCTTCTGCTAAACTCTCTTCCCAGATACTTGTGTCTTTAGACATCACCATGCCTTCATGTCGTTCTGTTGCTTCACCTAATGTGCCTGATCTGATGTGGCTGAAATCCTAATAGTCCAGTTAGGAATCTCTTAACTATAGACTGTTTAGGAGAATAGAGTGGTATTAACCTTGTTTTACTAAATGCTTTCCAGTGAAAAGTGCTTTTTACTAAACTTTCCTAAAATCTATGCTTCACTCAACCCAATATGGCCATACTTCTATGAATGAAAAGGAACTTCCATAATAATGTTTGTGGTGAAAAACTTCCCTATCAGAGAAATAATGTAAAAATTTAAAGGTAATTATAATAAGTGAGCATTTCTATAGCACTTTAAGTTTACCAAACACTTTACAAATAACTCACTTGGTCCTCACAACAATCCTGGGAGGTGGGTGCTATTATCCCCATTTTGCAGATGAGGAAACTGAGGCAGAGTGGTTAAGTGACTTGCTTAGTAACGTTATACAGTTTGCCAAACATTTTATGCATGTTATCTCATTTTATCCTCACAATAATCATGGCAAAGAAATGTTATTATCCCAATTTTACAGATGAGAAACGGAGGCAGAGTTGTTAAGTAACTTGCCCAGGGTCACACAGCTAATAAATGTCTGAAGCTGGATTTGAACTCAGCTCTTCCCACCTTTTGGTCCAGGGCTCTTATCCACTGTACTGCTGAGTGGTCCATAAAGCGGTTGGGGGAGAAAGCGTCATTATGCCATCCATGGTTCAGTGGTAGAATTTTTTTTTGTTTCCTCTCTCTCACAATCACTCAAGCCTTTATTGAATGCTTACTAAGGCTCAGGCCCTCCACTAGGCTGTGGGTTACAATGACAGAAGCAGAATTTATCTGTCTTCACAGAGCTTACATTCTAAGAGAGCAACATGTATCCACCCGAGGACATACAAAATACACACAAAACAGAGTCAAGGTCACCTTGGAAAAGCAAGTTTATCTCTTAAAACCAACGTTTATTGCCCTCTTTTGCTTTTACATCTCCCACGTTTCCCAATCTCCCCTCCCCCCAGGAGTGGAAGGGGTATTGGGCTCCATCCTCTTTCCTACTCTTCCTCCCCTTTTTTCTGCTTCCCTGCCCGGTCTTCCTCATTTCTTCCCCATTTCACCTCTTCTGCCAAATAAGTCAGCTCACCTCTCTCTTCCTAGGATCGCCACTTCCTTGGACCCTGACTTTTGTGTTCACACTTGTCTCCCCCCTACTCAGTTCCAGACCATTCCGTGGTCCCCCAACCCTACCCTTGTAATAGGGCTCCGACAGCCTCACTGACTGCACTGTGCTTGGAATTTACCCAGATACAAGAGGTTCTTGCACACACGCTCACCCCATCCCACCCCACTCGTATGCACATTAATTGGCTGCTATTGATATTAATTTGATGTAATAATAGTGGGAATGTCATTCCCAAGGGACTCACTGACAGACAGTGATTAGTCAGTGTCAGCTCAAAACATCCCATTTCCCCTTAGCACCAACAATGGGCCAGGGCAGCTCTTGTGTTTTTGATATAAACCCTTGAAGTATCTGTATTTTACCCTGTGGTAGGTGTTCCATGCATTTACTTTGTGTTGTGTGGGACTAATTTCCTTTTAATTTCCCCAAAACTTGCCTTTCTCAGATTGCCAAGAGTGCCCCTTAATGAGTATAAGGATGCCCCGATTTGATAACCCAGAGACTTCTGCAAGGTCACACAGGTTGTAAGCATCAAAGGCAGAATCTGAACTCAGGACCCTTGGACTCAAGAACCAGAGTTCTTTCCACTGTACCATGCACACTCTCTATATGCATTAGACATTCTGTTGGAGTCTTGGAGGCCACACATTAAAAATGTGAATTACCATTAGGCACTTTTAGTATCATTTCTTTATATATTTGACTAAATTTAATGCGGTTCTATCTGGAACCCTGCTTTGTCATTTAACTGTAAACTGTCCCAGATTAATTGGATGAGGCAGCTAGGTGGCCCAGTGGATTGGCAGGAAGATCCTAATTCAAATCTTGCCTCAGAAAATCACTTGCTGGGTAACCCTGGGCAAGTCACTTAACCTTTATGTACCTCAATTTTCTCATCTGTAAAGTGGAGGTAAGAAACAAACCTGAAGGTTTGTTGGGCAGATCAAATGAGCTAACACGTGTACAGTGCTTTGCAAATCTTAAAGCACTATATAAATGCTAGCTATTATTTTTTTCTTTTTTCTTTTAATTTATTTAGCATTTAATTTTTTCCCAGTTACATTAAAAACAATTTTTAGCATTCGTTTTTAAAACTCTGAGTTCCAAATTCTCTCCCTTTCTTCCTCTCCCCTGAAAACATAGACCCCCCCCAAAAAAAAACCCTCAAGAAAAATAAAGTAAAAAAAATGCTTCAATCTATATTCAGACACCATCAGTTCTTTGTCTGGGGATGGACAGCACCTTTGGTCATAAGTCCTACACAATTGCCTTGGATCATTGTATTGCTGAGAAAAGTTAAGAAAGTCATTCACAGCTGACCATCTTACAATACTGCTGTTACTTTGTAACAGTGTAACACAATACATCTCACCTTGCATCAGCTCCTGTAAGTCTCCCTAGGTTTTCCTGAGAGCATCCTGCTCATTTCTTCTAGCAAAATAGTATTCCATCATAATCACATACCATAATTTGTCCATCCATTCCCCAATTGATGGGCAACCCTTCAATTTCCAATTCTTTGCTACCAGAAAAGAACTGTTATAAATATTTTTTGTACATACAAGTCCTTTTCCTTTTTGTTTTTTCTCTTTTTTGGGATACAGACCTAGTAGTGGTATTGCTAGGTCAAAGAGTATACATGCCCTTTGGGCATAGTTCCAAACTGCTGTACAGAATGTTGAATCAGTTCACAACTCTGCCAATGATGCATTAATGTCTCATTTCCCCCATATCCTCTCCAATATTTGTCATTTTCCTTTTCAGTACCAATGTAATCAGTATGAGGTTGTACCTCAGAATTGTTTTAATTTGTATCTCTCCAATCATTAGTGAGTTAGGACTTTTTTTTTCCCACATGGCTAAAGGCAGTTTTGATTACTTCATCTGAAAACTTCATATCTTTTGATCATTTATGAATTGGGGAATGGATCTTATTTTTATAAATTTGACTCAGTTCTCTACAAAGAAACTTGCTTCAAAATGTTTTTCAGTTACTATTGTTAATTATATTTCCCTCCATCCTGTCCCTCCCCATTTATTCAATTCTTTCTGTCCTTTCACCATGTCCCTCCTCAAGTGTTTTGCTTCTAACTACCCCCTCCCCAATCTGTCCTCCCTTCTATCCCCCTTCCCTTCTTTTATGCCTTTCCCCTCCTACTTTCCTGTAGGACAAGCTAATTTTTAAAATTAATTTATTAATTTTTAGTTTTCAACATTCACTTCCATAAGATTTTGAGTTTCAAATTTTCTCCTTCTCCTCCCCTTTCCCCAAGACTGTGCAATCTGATAAAGGCTCTATTTACACATTCATATGAAGCATATTTTCACATTAGTCATGATGTAAAGAAGAATTAGAACCAATGCGAGGAATCACAAGAAAGAAAAATAAAAACAACAGAAGAAAAGGAGAGCAAATAGTCTGCTTCCATCTCCATAGTTCTTTCTCTGGATGTGGACAGCTTTTTCCATCGTGAGTCTTTTGGAATTGTTTTAGATCCTTGCATTGCTGAGAAAAGCCAAGTCTATCAAAGACAGTCATCGCACAGTGTGGCTGTTACTGTGTACAATGTTCTCCTGGTTTTGCTCACTTCACTCAGCATCAGTTCATATGAATCTTTCCAGGTTTTTCTGAAGTCTGCCTGCTCATCATCTCTTATAGCACAATAGTATTCCATTACATTTATATACCACAGCTTGTTCAGCCATTCCCCAATCGATGGGCATCCTCTCCATTTCCAATTCTTTGCCACCACAAAAAGAGCTGCTGTAAATATTTTTGTACACGTGGGTCCTTTTCCTGTTTTTATGATCTCTTTGGGATATAGACCTAGAAGTGGTATTGTTGCGTTGAAGGGTATGCAATTTTATAGCCCTTTGGGCAAAGTTCCAAATTGCTCTCCACAGTGGTTGGATCAGTTCACAACTCCACCAACAATGTGTTAGCGTTCCAATGTTCCCACATCTTCTCTAACATTGATCATTTTCCTGTTTTGTCATGTTGGCCAATCTGATAGTGTGATGTAACACCTCAGATTCATTTTGATTTGCATTTCTCTAATCAATAGTGATTTAAAGCATTTCTTCATATGACTTTAACAACTTTAATTTCTTCCTCTGAAAACCACCTATTTGACCATTTATCAATTGGGCAATGACTTGTATTCTTATAAATTTGACTCAGTTCTCTATATATGTTAGAAATGGGGCCTTTATCAGAGATACTGGTTGTAAAAAATTGTTTCCCAACTTTCTGCTTCCCTTCCAAGGTAAGACAGATTTCTGTACCCAATTGAATGTGTATGTTATTCCCTCTTTCAGTTATGATGAGAGTAAAGTTCACTCACTTGCCCTCACCTCCCCTATCTTCCTCTTGACTGTAAAAAGCTTTTTCTTGCCTTTCATGTGAGACAATTTACCCCATTCTACCCCACTACCCCTTTCTATTTCTCCCAGTACATTCCTCTCTCATCTCTTAATTTCATATTTTTTAGATTTCATCCCTTCATATTCAACTCACACCTGTGCCCTGCCTAGATATATTCCTAATTACCTAATAATGAGAAAGTTTTATGAGTTACAAGTAACATCTTCTCATGCAGGAATGTAAAAAGTTTAACCTTAATAAGTCCCTTATGATTTCCCTTTCCTGTTTACCTTTTTATACTTGAGTCTTCTATTTGAAAGTCAAATTTTTTACTCAGCTCTGGTCTTCAAAAGAATGCTTGGAAATCCTCTGTTGCATTGCATGTCCATTTTCCCCCCTGAAGGATTATACTGTTTTGCTGGGTAGGTGTTTCTTCGTTGTAATTCTAGCTCCTTTGCCGTCCAGAATATCATATTCTGAGGCCTCTGATCCTTTAATGTAGAAGCTGCTAAATAATTGTGCTATCCCGACTCTGGCTCCACCATACTTGAATTGTTTCTTTCTGACTGCTTGCAATATTTTCTCCTTGACCTGTGAGCTCTGGAATTTGGCTATAATATTCCTGGCAGTTTTCACTTTGGGATATATTTCAGGAGGTGATTGGTGGATTCTTTCAATTTCTATTCTGCCCTCTGGTTCTAGAATATCAGGGCAGCTTTCCTTGATAATTTCCTGAAAGATGATGTCTAGGCTCTTTTTATAATCATGGCTTTCAGGTAGTCCAATAATTTTTAAATTATCTCTCCTGGATCTGTTTTCCAGGTCAGTTGTTTTTCCGATGAGATATTTCACAGTCTTCTATTTTTTCATTCTTTTGGTTTTGTGTTATAATTTCTTGATTTCTCATAGAGTCATTAGCTTCCATTTGCTCCATTCTCATCTTTAAGGAATTATTTTCTTCAGTAAGCTTTTGTACCTCCTTTTCCATTTGGTCAATTCTACTTTTTAAAGAGTTTTTTTTTCCCCCTTCAGTGAATTTTTGTGTCTCATTTTCCATTTGGCTAATTCTGCTTTTTAAGGCATTCTTCTCACTGGCTTTTTGTACCTCTATTACCTTGTCTACTTTTTTAAGGTGTTATTTTCTTCAGTATTTTCTGTGTCTCCTTTACCGAACTGTTGACTTGTTACAATCATGTTGACATGATCTTCTTGCATCACTCTCACTCCTCTTCCCAATTTTTCCTCTACCTCTCTAATTTGCAAAATTCTTTTTGAGCTCTTCTATGGCCTGAAACCAATTCATATTTTTCTTGGAGGCTTTGGATGTAGGAGCTTTGACCTTTTTTTTTCCCTTGATTTTTTTTTTTTTTGGTGAGGCAATCGGGGTTAAGTCACTTGCCCAGAGTCACACAGCTAGTAAGTATCAAGTGTGTGAGGCTGGATTTGAACTCAGGTCCTCCCAACTCTAAGGCCAGAGCTTTATCCACTATGCCATCTAGCTGCTCCTTGACCTTATCTTCTGAGTGTGTTTTGAATTTCCTTGTCACCACAGTAACTGGTCAGAATCTTTTTTGTTTGCTCATTTTCCCAGCCTATTTCTTGACTTTTAACTCTGAAAGTAGGGCTCTGCTTCCAGGGTGGAGGGCACACTACCTCAAGCCTCAGGGGTTTCGTGCAGCTGTTTTCAGAGATACTTCTAGGGACGTTTAAGTTCTCAGCTCTTCCAAGGTGGTACGATCTAAGGAGAGGTGTGTACTCCTCTCCTGGCCTGTGCACAACTACAAGGCACTCTTTTCTGCCCTGGAACTGTGAGGAGGGTCCCCTGTTCCACTGCGGCTGCAAGCTCTGGCATACTGATGCTCCTCCGCGCCCTGGGTCTGCCACCCAGACCCGAATATGGGCAAAACAACAGTCGGGCCTCAGCAATCTGTAAGCTCCTATAATCCTTCTGCCCTGTAATCTCCTTCTGACCAGTTGTTCGACCCCCTTACTTTCTATGGGCTCAGAGTCCCAGAAACAGACGCTGCTGCTGCTGATTGAGTGGCTCCCAAGGCCACTCCCAAGTGCAACAGACTTTTCCAGCCGACCTTCTAAGTAGTTTGTGGCTGGAAAACCATTTCACCCAATCCTTTTGTGAGTTCTGCTGCTCTAGGAATTGTTTTATGGCACTATTTAAAGGTGTTTAGAGGGGTTTTGGGGAAAGCTCAACTGAGTTGCTGCCTTCTCTCGCCATCTTGGCTCTGCCTCCCTATGCTAGCTATTGTTACTTAATGTTTCCTTATCTGTAAGATGGGGATAACAACTTTGTGTGGATATCCAATTGGCTTAGCACCCCATAGCTCAGAACTTCCAAGGGTCAGCAGCCTCAGCTTCACCAGCTGAAGGACAGATATATAGGTATGAACCACCATGGCTGGCAGAAAGTGTTCCTAAAAGAATTTAAAATATGCTTCTGCCTTTGGGAGGGAGGATGGGGAGAGACAGATGGAACCAAAGATATCAGAAAACTCCATTTTTAAAAATGCTTCTTCAAATTGTACTCATTGCTTGGAGAACTGAGGCCTAGTTCCTCTCCTGCAGAGCTGGCCTAAATCTTTCAAGGACTAACTTTTCTCCCCTTTCCCTCAGTGTTCTCTTCTCCAGACCCAAATCCCTAAGAGTACAGAAGCTGGACTCAGTGACCCCATAGGTCCACGATGATGCTCTTTTGAGTTCCTTCGATCAATCCTGGTACAGGCTGAAGCCCCCAACAATGGGGTTCACCGTCCATCAAATGTTCTCATTTGTCCCTCTTCTTCCCTCGATGTTGGCAACCAGCACTCCACGCGATACTCCCAAGCACTGGCATTGTGTAAAAGGTAACTAACCTCTTACAGAAACTGAGTTTCTTTCTTTATAGTAGTAACCTATGGATAAACAGTCAGGCTGATCAGCACTGAGCACACAGAGCCAAGCTCAAATTCCTGCAAGTGTTTTGACCCAAACTGACACAAAATTTCAGAAAGTCAAATGAATCATTTGGCAACACAGAGCTCTCCATTATTAAGGGACCAGATTTTTCATAAGCCACTATTCCAACTGGGCAGGCCCCAAAGACATGAATGTTTAACAAAAGTACTCTTCTCCCATGGTCCTTCTCTACTGTTTACACTGTACAGAACTTGTGACAAGATGGATGTAAAATCCAGATCTAGGTGGGCCCCTGGTGACATTCAGCCCTCACTCTAGACCCAGGCAGAGTCCCAGGATGGCAGACCAGTTGTGGCCTGGCTCTACCCCTCCAGCCTGGGAAAGCTCTGCTTCCTGTTAGGTTTACAGTTTGGCTTGCTGCCTCAATGTGAGAATGACACACAATAGGAGATATGCAGGTTACTGGCCATTTAGAAACATCAGCTTACATGTTCGGCCTCTGCTAAGTATTTAATGCTTGGCTCATTTTAAGGTGCAGGCTCTCTGTTTATAATGCAAGAAGTCAGTTGTCAAATAAGGCGGAATGGTATACCTAAAAGGTTTAGCTCTTTTGCTTTTTAGAACAAAATCATTTGCAACATATGCTTTCATAATGCTTAATGTAACTGTAGTTTTTCATCCTATTTAGTTACATTTTAAATTCCAACGTTAGTTCACTGAATAAAAGACTGGCAAGGCATGGAAGAAAGAATGAACTTTGGATTAGAGGGCCGGGATTTGAATCCTCACTCCGTCCTTAGAGTTGTGTGGCACTAAATCAGTTAATCTCTTTTTAGACTCAGTTTCTTCATTTGTAAATGAAAAAAGGGGATGGGACTGGACTCTCAAGTCCTTCCAGCCCCCAGTCTACAATTCTATGTAAGTAGGACAATGAGATCAAAGTTCTCTATCACGTTTAGTTTTACATATTACCCAAGTGACCAAGGAATGAAGATACATGGACATTTGAAAGGGGGTTTGCTATGAATTCACTGGGACAGGAGGAGAGGGCAAATAAAGGTAGTTCTGGATAGATCTGCTTTGTTCCACTGAGATCAAAGATCAATAACAGAATAAAACTAATGACTTGCATCTTAAAAAACCAAACCATCAGAAATTATTTTAACTACAATTCTTAGTTCAAACTAATTTCTTAAAATGAAGCTTCCAATACTCAATACTCAGCCAAATACTCTATTAGTTAAAGGATCTTACCTTAAACTGAATTCCTGTAGTGGGTGACCTGCCCAGCAGAATACTACACTTAGTCCTGTAGGACCCTAGCCAGGACTTAAAGATTCAGTGAATCCCAGAGTAACCAGGTACAAAGAAGGTCTTAGAATATTTTGACTCCCTGGAGCAGGACTGAAGAAGAAGGGAGGAAATGTGAAAATTGAGTCAAAGCAAGGAGCAGCACAGATTTGCTTTACGCCACTGTACACTTTATTAAATACTGTGCTAGTACACTTGAATTCAGTTCCTTCTGTTGGAAGCTGTGTAAAAAAGAGGCTTCACTGTGCCAATGTTCACTGACTCTGCTTCTAATTAACCACTGTAATCCTACTGGTTCTATGATCACAATACACATTCAGGGTTAACAAGAGCCCTTGCGCCTAGGCAGAAAAGGGGATATAAATGTCGTTCTTCAGCAGTACACAATCTCTCTGTCTTCCTTTAAGGAAAGGGCCAGCGGAGCTGAGACATGACTAACACACACACACACACACACACACACACACACACAAAACACATCAATGTGATCAAAGAACATACTGTATTCCATGGGATAGTTATAAAAGCTACAGCTAACATTACAAGTCATGCACGCTAGGTCACCACCACTATCTACATACAGGATGCATGGGAATTAGTCAGGCCCCAAAAGTCACCACTTAGTCAAAAATAAAACTAAGAGTGAGAAAAGATGGTTAAAATGCTCTTTTGGACTGCCCCAGAAAAGCTGTCAACTGTAGTATCCATCCTGGAATCGGGAGGAAAAGTTCCTGGGGGTCCCATTTTCCTGCGTTTTGATCAAGTCTAGGATAGCAGACAGGACAGCGCAGTCTCTTGACTGAGTCTCTTTCCAATCCACAGGATGAGGGTTTTCAATCTTTTCTTGCAAAAGGGCATCAAGTTCTTTTCTTAGTTCCTAGGATTGAAAAATTATAAGTGTTCATTGAAGGCACCATCAAATGAATTCAAAAAGCAATTTCCTTCCTAAAGGATACTCTTAGGAACTGAATATGTAAAAATTGTACCCAAATACAAAGTGTTCAGAAGTTGTAGGAAGAAAATTGTTAATTATTAAGAAGCCATCACTATGACACAAATTTTAGCTTTAGCTCTAATCTATAGTTTTGAATCTGATTAACAACTCACAAAAAAAAACCAGATTAGAAACAATAAATCATTCAAACACCAACATTTCATCTTAGGACATACAAGAAATATTCAGTGTTATTTAGGATAAAACAGAACAAAACTACAACTGTCAATGTTCACGAAAAAACTAATTTTGAAATTTATGCAGACAATCACAAATTAATCAGTTACCTTAACGAGATGAGCAATTCTTGCTGGAGACTGGAAGACAATCCATTCATCTACAGCAATAGTATCTTGATCTTTATCTTTCTGGATGGAAATATCACCTCCGAAGAATAAGAGACAGTAGGGAGACACTTCTGTGCAGTCATATAAATAAATCTGCAATGAGACCAGAAAATACATTTATTGTTGAGTTCTTTGAGACAAGAAAACAGCCAGCTCTACTGGGGTTTTCTCTCATGGATACAGTAATCAGACACCATAAAACTGAAGGTAATTCAGGTTTCAGTGAAAAGCATTTGAACTATTATCTTTCCATCAGTGTTATAGTCACCACTTTAACTCAAGTTGAAAATAGTTTAATATGTTGGTTTTCTATGAGCAAACCTGCTTACAGATGTTAAGAATGTAACAGCCTGACAAAAACAAATTCACACAGTTTGTACTTTTTCAGGAGTCAAATTTAAATTCCTAATAAGTATTCTTTGTTCATTTGACTTGTGGAACACATGGTAGAAATTTACAGTATTTCTCAGTAAAGAGTACACAGCAGTGAAAACTGATATTTAAAATGCCCATTTGCCGAGTACCAACCAGAGGCTCCGTAGGGTTGGTGCTGAGGACTAGTTTCCTATAATCACAGCTAGAGCACTTTACAGCTTCTATAAAGATTCCCCTGCCAGAAGGTCAGCTATGGAAACCAAATCACTACTGCGGTTAATTCAAAAGGGGAAAAGCAGACTGGGGCTAACATCCACATGATTAGGAAAAAAGGTTTTCCAAGGAGAAAACAGTTATTTACCTCAAGTTACATTTGGTTGGAAATTTTAAAGTGATCCTAAGTGAGGGTCTAACACAGAATAATAAAAGAGGACACCCCACAGCCAGGAAGGTTTAGAACCATTTCCAAGTTTACTTACACTGCTTGTTCTCATCTTCAGGTGGTAGATCAACCAGTTATGATGGAACTCGGACTCATCCACATTAACAGATTTGGGATGAATGTTAACTGTTCCATCGGTTTTGGTGCAAACTTTCGCCCTTAAAAAAATGGGGGTAAGAGGGAGGAGTTTGAGTTAGAGCTAATTTGTCACAAAGTTCCTTTCTCAAGGACTTTCTCCCTTCCTTAACTCTTAACTTATGGAAAGCCCAAAGAGTTTTTTAAAACCTTCATTTTAGTATCTGTCTTTTTACACATCCCTATAGCAAGGTGTGTGCCTGGCACAGAATAAGAACTTAAATGCTTTATCTATCTACATGAGTAACTTGCATATAATAGATTAACTTTCTGGAAATCACCAAAGCAGTTGGTAGCTTTCAAATCATATTGCTAGCGACCTCTCCTCTTGCAGGCACAATTATCCAAATCACTCCAAAGCTAACTGGAGTCCATTTAATTTATTGGAAGATTAAATGATATTTAAAATAAATGCCATTAAGACAATCACAAAGCCAAGCTTTGAATTCAAACTAATCAACCTCCACCTTCAATGTTATTTATGACAGGAAATTACTGTTGCAGTTCAAATTTCTAATAAGAGTTTAGTAAAGAAATCCCTGAAACAATAATCTGGTGGGTAGTCAACTCTCACAACTTTAATAGGAAGTACTGAATTTTAGATGGATTTTCAAATTCTCCCAAAACTCACCACCAATGTCCTTTTAATTATTTGTAGGAAATGTAAAACTTTAATATATGCCTTTGTCTACAACTACTCAATAGGAAAAACTCCGAACCAATTCAACTAAGCTCTACCATTCACTTTTCCCCCATACTGATCTGTAGAATGCTTTTTTCAATTCATATTAATAAGCTATGCTCATAGAACTAAATTAGCTTCCACACTAAAGAAGAAAAATATGGTTCATCAAAGGATCGTTTATAGATTCAATAGGAAATCTTCACAGTCATACCTACATACATGCTCCTTTGATGTTCTAGGAACTCACAACAACATTTCAATCCAAACAGGAAAAGACACTGAAGCCTTTACTCAGGAGGAGTCCAGGAAGTAGCAGAACGCCCCTACCGTCGCTCAAGTGCTCGGCGCCTTGCCACCCACCCACACTGGGCTGCTAATAGACTAGGGCATTAATTTATACTTTAATGAGCTTGCCCTCTCTGGAGGGCAAGGAGTAGAAGAGGAAATCAATTTCGTTGCTTTGTTTTTCTTTCCTAAAGAAGCCCCTGAGTGGGCCCACAGGCAGCAAGAAAAAGAACAGAAATAGGAAAGAAAGCTACCAAATGAGAACCTGAGACATGCGATGAACAACGTGGGCTACGGACGGGCTGTCCGCCAAAAATTAAAAGTCATGAAGGACGATGCAAACTTCGCATTTTTTTCAAGCACCCAGTATGTGTCTTTATTAAGAACCCCTAGCTGTGTCCTTAGGAAGTGCTTCTGATAAAGCAGATGACACATTCATCAAACAGAGACACACTTTTAACTCCCCACACCAAAACAGCAGGAAGAAAATAATAAATGGCGGATGTTCTAAGCAACACAATGTTGTTTTAGGAAACCAGCATAACTTCCAATGTTCTTTAGCTTGTTACGAATAACTTACATGCTCTGTGAATTGGGTGATACCACTGGTAAGACACAGCCAGAAAAATACTGCTCACTAGCAGAAAGTGAGCCTGATATCACACAATTTGAATAATATTTTTAAATAATTTAATTTAATAAATAATAGCATTTTTGGGAGGGGGAGCAAAAGGGTTGATTGAAAGGCCATTTAAAATACTTACGTTTTCCTTTTTTTACTAAAACTTGGCCGGATTTTAGCAACTTTTGGATATAAGCCAGCGCAGATAACAGCTTTGATTATCTTTTCATTATCTGCAATAAGCAAACAATACAGATAAATGAGATATAGATGAAAATATCACTAAGTTATTAGGCTTTGTCTTCAGGCTCACCTGAATTAATATTTGATTTGGGATCTTTGGGGTTCCTGCTGCTTACAAATCCAGCCGCAAGAAGATGCTCAGCAAATTGTCCCTTCATGCTGTGCAGCATCTGTGAGGAGCGAGAGCCAGAAATGGAAGGAGCCAGTGACTTTCAAGCACGTGAGCAATCAATTAAAGGCAGTGCTGGCTGAGATTCTGATAGGGCCCGGTACATAGTAGGTGCTAAATATTTTCTTTCCCAGCTGTGGTTAGCTGAGATTTCTGTTCCCTACTTCCTTGACGGTCCCAAGACTACCTCTGACCCACCTCAAATGCAATCTCAGGTAGAAGGACCAGCCTTGCCAGAGTTCTGGGGCTCAGAGCTGCGGATTCTTCCTATCTTATTTCAGGAATGCACTCGAAGCAGAAGGGAGGCACTGAGTCCCTTCGTATTAAGCAGGAATGCTAAACAAAATGTCCTACAAAAACACTAATACTGCCATAAATGGTAGTTCTTCTACAATCATATTCTTACCACAGCATCATTAAATAACTGATCCAAACAATGATTAACATGCTGGGCACCAAGGAGACAAAGTACTTAGCTTTAGATACTGTTATACACATCGAGCCCATCTCTGCAGAAACCATACATAATAGCACAAGGAACACAAAGTGCTGTGATGGCAGATGAGGGAGAAGTCCCTTCCAGCTGGGAGGATTCAAAGGAGCCTTCAGAGGCAGAATTTAAGATGAGCCTTGAAGGACAGTGCTGACGGGCAGTGACGTGGGAGGAAGTGAGACTCTGGGTAGGGAGCAGCACAGGCAAAGGCATAGTGTGAGGAGATCTACTCAGGGGAATACAGGTGGGAATATGGGTAAAACAATGCTGGATGGGTCGGGGACACTCTGGGAGTGTCTATGGCCTGTGACAAGCACCTAAGTATTCAGGCATTACGTAATTTTTCAATTCTTAGTAACTAACTTAGAAACCCACTTTGAGGCTATAAGCTAGCCGTCCCTAGGCTGGAGTGACCAAAATACATGATCAAGATTTTAATACCCTGAAGTTTAATGACAGGATTAAAATCCTACTTTACCAAAACACCCACTTATAAAATTAAGAAGTGACAGGCATTTGAAAGGGCTTGCTCATTTTACAAAAGGGGCCTTGTGGGACTCCATTACATGGTGACCCTAAGTACTTTGTTTTAAATGACAAGCTAGAAAACTGACTTCGGCTCCAGGCAAGCACACCCTTCCCAGGCTAATGCACGTCCAAGGCCAGGAGCTAAGGCAGGCCCGGATACCTGAAGTGTGTTTGAGGACAGAAAATACTCCCAGCAGTAGTCCTTTTCAAACCGGAAACCACGCCTCTTCGCCTCTTCCCATCCCTTGGAAGCAGAAGAAAAGAAAAGGGAGGGGGGGGGTGTCAGGGTATCTTGTAATTTCAAAGAGCAACAAATATTTACTTCTTACTCAGAGAGTCTCAGTTATGTTGCAAACAATATAAACTACAAAACCATCTACCTTAACACAGAGATTATTCAATATGTACCATATTTCAACAAATGAGAATCACTTTTCCACAATCAACAAGAGAAGTATAAACTTAATAATTTATTGGTAATTGGCAGAATCCAGTTTCAAATACTAGAGTTATTCCTACAGGCTTCAATGTTTAGGGGTCTCCTAAAAGATTTATGATCTTCCTCAGATATCAGGGTTATAGGCTACAGATTTAAAATGAAAGGGAATGAGTCCAACTGCTCATTTTACAAATAAAGAAACCAAGGACTAGAGAGGTCCAGTGACTTTCCCAAGGTCAACAGGTTTTGAGAGGCAGGGCTGGGATTTGAACAAGGCCTCTGACCCCAAGTTCCATGCTCTTTCCCCTTGATCACCCTACCACCAGTTATTCACAATTAGATTTTGGTTAACTTCATTACAGAAGGCTTTTGCTCTGCAACTGGCTTTTTTCACGACTGGCTTTTTCCACAGGTTTTACCTCAAAAGCATTCACAACCGTCAAGTGGTCACTTTTCGTGTTCTTTGACAATTCCTTTCTCCTGGCATCAGCTACTTTTTCTTTGCCCTAAAACCATAAAAAGAGAAATGGAAATGGAGCTCACTTACACAGCTCTGTGCGCCAAAAGGTGGATGTAAAGCCCTGTTCTCCAGGTGCCTGTTGTTTTTAATGACCATCTTGGAGAATGATCACACATTCTGGACAGAAGTTCTTACCAGTGGAATGACAAAGGGATCTTTGAAGCTGAGACTGGCTGCAATGGTGAGGACTGGATCTAAACAGCAGAAAAGGGCCCCAAAGAGAATCATTTTTCCAATATGCGGTTCAACTGGCAATCGCGCTAAATGGACTCCAAGAGGGGTCAATTCCTCTTGCTTATCCAAAGCATTCTGTATAAAAAGAAGGAAAAAACCTTTAAAGCAAGCATTATATGTTAAACCATTCAGCATTCACATAGAGGTGACCCACATTATTCCTCAGTGGAGGCACTGATTCTTCTGATTTTTTTTCTTCAAGTGCATTGGATTGAACAACACCTTAATCCCAAAGAGTTCCTACTCTGAGGTGACAAATCATGTTTTAGATGGGTGGACCAAATTTACCAAGGCCACTTGGAGCCAAGCCCAAACACCACTAAGTCCACAGTCCGGACTTCACCCAAATTAGGAGTCAACTAAACTACTTGAGGCAAGGTCAATTATACAAGTTTCACTTAGGACATGTGGCTCAGCAGAAGAATCATCCTGTGACCCAGTAAGGCTCTGGAACTTTCTATAATCTTAGCTCTGTCTTTGAAATGATGGCTTATATGAGAATTTCACATTTTGAAAAATGTGTGCATATATATGAAAAGTTATCAATTGCTGAATATGATTAAATAATTTAATATTATAAAGATAAATTTATAATTTTCACACATACACAAAATGTAGGATATGGACAAGAAAAACCAAAATTAAGCAGTTTTTATACATCACTGCCTAACAACTTATTTTACCAAATAATCAAATGTTTCTATTAAGAGACAGAAATTAAAGCCAGAAAATGTTGTTTAAACATCAAGCTTACCAATTCCATTAGATGATTTATAGACAGCAAAACGGCATCATGAGATGGTGGGTCCATTAACCTGCTTAGGAAATAAGCAATTCCGCCCAGCCTTAAAATCTGCAGAAAAGAAGGAATGAGTACATATTTACTTAAAAAAGGTCAAACATAAATTATTAAGTATATGAAATTGCTAAAATTAAACCAGATTTATAAGATCTTATACATTTCAGAAAATTAACTGGAAACACAATTATTATTTCATGAAGAAATAGTTACAGGCAAATGAATGAAAAACCTTCTTGCTTCCACCTTTAAATAAATACTTTACAATGACTAACTACAGTACAAGGACATGTAAGTACTCAGAAAAGGTACTGAAAGCAAAGACTCAGGAAAAAAAAAATTTAAGATTTACTTTATTAAAAATGAATTAGTAAACATATATGACTGGCTTCCCCAACCTACAGTGATGTGCCCAAGAAAATGTTTTTCATTAAGATGCATTATACAGTGGTATTTTTTGTTCCATATGTTTAAAAAAAGGATAATTTAATATCTTCCTTCATATTTCAGAACAAAAATCACTACTACCTTTTAAGAAAACAAACCATTCCACATAAGTAAGATTTTTTACCTTTATCTGTAAACACAGTTCTTCTAATGGTGTTCTCAAAATTTCTGGTAACTGATAGTCATCCAGAAGGCTGGCTCGAAGACCATTATACAGATGATAGCAGTAACCTGGTTGAACTCTAAAAAAAGGATTTGAAAAAAGCAGCTATATAACCATTTCTTAGCACTGGACAATAAGGTTTATTTGACTTAAAACTTTTAAAATGGAAAAGGCCATTAGAAAACTGTTTCAAAAGAAATTTTAAATAAGTAGTGAGAGCTCTTTGATCTAGCAGACATCATTCTCCTAACCACATTATCTTCTTAGGACCACAAATGGCCCAGCCCCATCTCCACTTTTCCATCTCGCTACTACCATTGCTAGACAGGGCCTGGCCCTGTCCACTTACCAGCCCTGGTAGGCCAGCCTTTCCTGGCCACCCCACCTCCTACCTCTCTCTGTAAGGATCTAAGACCACTGAGGCTTTGGCACAATGCCTGGCACACACAGGGAGTGTAAAACTAATGCTTTTTCACCTTATAAGTCCATATTCATATTAAAATATGAGATGGCATGAATGTTTAATTAACCTGTACACAATATAACAATACCGAATCACACATATCAACAATATGGTTTACTCCCCCAAAATCTTTCTGTTTCATAGAAGAAAATGAGAAAACACACATTTTCATTCTCTCTTACTTACACACACTCATGCGCATATTCACACATATGTGCACACACTCACACAGATATGAAAGGCATTGCTGGTTTATGGGATTCTTGTCACCTTATTCACTACCCCCATCTTTCCTTGCCTCTCCACTGCCCAATCCTAAAACAGATAGGATCTTTCTGTTTTTCCCTTCTTATTCCCACACTCTGAGATCAGTTTTGTTGAAAAGTCTTCAGCAGAAGGGGGGATTCCCAGCTGGCCCCGCTGTCCTGTGAAGTCCCATCCACCTCCCAGCATCTGGGATTCTCTGGTGATCAGAAAGCTATTAGCTACAAGAACAGCCATGAGTTTCTAAAGACACAGTAAGACTACAGGATGTTGCATTTTTGGAACATTAACTAATTAATCTCTCTCATCTAAAATACTATTACTGACTTGTTCTTGTTTTGAAATTTTGAAAGATATAAGCGATTTCTCAT